ATTCAGATAAATTTAAGCCTATTGATCCTATTTGCAGAATTTTTGTACAGAAATAAGACTACCAGTTGTGCGTTAAAAATTGAAAATATATTTTGTTTGTAGAGGCAGAAGTTAGGAAGCCATAGGATGTCCTTCAGCAAAGGAAGGGTTGAGTTATTGTGGTTTGCCTGCAGCATGGGGCCTGACGCAGCTGTTCCAGAACAGGTTATAGCCAATGCTTGGGTAGAGTGACTGGGACAGGAAGAATGCCAGTTCAAGACTTGTAAAACTTAGTGACCTAGTCTCAAAAACGAGAGGACACAGACTGGGAGAAGCCAGACAAGAGCCTAGCCTATCATCATCAGAGAGGCTCCGTCCAGCAACTGATGGAGACAGATCAGAGACAGGGGAGAGCTCTGTGAATCCCTCAGAAGAAGGGGAGGAAGGATTCTAGGAGCTAGAGGGGTCAAGGACACCACAAGAAAACCCACAGGATCAACCAATTTGGGCTCATTCTCAACTACACAACAAGTTTGAGGCCAGCTTCAGCTACTTGAGACTCTGAGAAAGAAAGAAAGAAAGAAAGAAAGGGAAAAAGAAAAGAAAATCCATTTCAAGAAACAGAGAAAGGCCCTAAAAGGGTCAAGGCTATCCTGTGGGACAAATTATATCCCCAACCTCACTTCACAGTTCTCTTCCATTGTATATCTATTTCTTCTAGCTTGAAATAACCCTTCTGGTAATTGTGAACAGCTCAATATGGGTGCTGGGAATTGAACTCTGGTCCTATGCAAGGGCAATATATGCTTAACTGCTGAGCCATTTCCCCAACCTTTTGCTTTTTCTCTTTTGAGAAAAGGTCTCATATAGGCTGGGCCAGCCTCAAACCCCTAAGTAGCCAAGGATGACCTTGAACTGCTGATCTGCCTGCCTTTCACTCCCACTGTGCTGGGATTTCAGGCATCCACCACCATGCCCAATTCTATGAGGTACTGGGTATTGAACCCAGGGCTTCACACATGCTAGTCAGGCTCTCAACCAACTGAGCCACATCCCTAGACCGTCACTTTCTTGCTGAGCTGCTCAGAAGGCAGGATAGGTGTCCTGGTTAGTTTATTGTCAAACCTGGATAGACAGAACCTCAGTTGAGGAATTCTCTCCATCAGATTGCCTTTGGGCATGTCTGTAGGGAATTTTCTTGATGTTAATTGGTATAGGAGGCTCCAACCCCTGTGGGAGATGCCATCCCTAGGCAAGGTGTAAGCGGTGTTTCTCCTTCTCGTGGTTTCTGCTTTAGTCCTGCCCTGATTTCTCACAGTGGTGGACTGTAACTTCTTCCCCATTGCTTTGATTGTGATGAACTAGGACATCAGGTGCGTATGCTCAAGAGGGAGCGAGATTCCTTCCACCTCTGTTTGGCCAAGCAGAGAGGCACTTTTGTGTTCCAGACAGCCAAGGACCGTGGGGTGCTAAAATTGATTTGGGAAGCTGGGATGCCGGGAGAGCCCGGGAACTGGGACTCTCGGGGCTCCACCATCACAGCCTAGTGCTCACCACACTCCAGACCATTTCCAAAGCACTTCGTGGTTTACCTCACTCTAGTCCCACCTCAAAGTCAAGGTAACTTTGCAGATGATGAATGCAAGGGGTAACTTGGAATTCACCCCAATACACAGCCAGAAAGAACTGATGAGCCTGCAAAGTTGGGATGCAATGCCTGCCCTAAATGCACATAATGCAGATTGCTGAATATAGGAATTGAAGGGGTGTAGTCGATTGGTAGTTAGAATTAACCAGACCAGCTCAAAAAACAATGAATTTAACTGGAAAAACAGAGAGACTCACGCGACCGGAGTCACAAGCACCACGCGCCGCAGAGCCAGAGAGAGAGAGAGAGAGAGAGAGAGAGAGAGAGAGAGAAGAAGAAGAAGAAGAAGAAGAAGAAGAAGAAGAAGAAGAAGGGAGGGAGGGAGGGAGAGAACAACTGGTGGGCACCTGGATCCCCTTCCTTCTTCCCTGGCCCCCCGGCGGCCACACCCTAGCCAAATGTGATTGGCTGAGCTTCCCCATCAAGGAATGGTCCTTTCTTCCTCAGACTCTCAGAGATCTGCCTGCCTCTGCCTCCCAAATGCTGCGATTAAAGCTGTGTGCCACCACTGCCCAGTCCTGAAACAATGGCCCTTGAGCTTCTGGTCTCAGTCGGAGGCCAATGATGATTAAATACTGGGGCTCATGGGGATAAGCAAAATAAAGTAAACAAAGTTTATTAGAGAATATTGAGGAAAATGAGAAAGTAAGGGGGGGGGTAATGAGAGACTAAGATTAGGAAGGGTTGCAAGAGAGAAAACTATAGAGTTACTTTGTAGGGGCTTTTTCTAGGGCCTCCAGAAGAAACTGGAAAGACTGAGGTAATTTCTACAGACTGGTTAATTCTCTGGGCTTATCACAGGCCAAAGCAGTGGGGGGTCCACCTGCCCTTGGCATGCTCCCAGGGTCGCCAGGTAGACAATTAGGAGATGTCCACATACTGCTTGTTCAGTTCAGGGAGGACCACATGTTGAAGCCCCTCTGTCCACCTGTGATTTGTATCTGTTGACCCTGGCTAGTGTTTCGCTGGCCTGATGTTAACTAAACTATATGTGCTGTTTTTGTTCTCACCTTTTACCATGGGCCATTTTCTCTTTACTGCCCACAGAGAACTAATTCCTGCCCACTTCCCTTCTTTCCCTTCTGTCTTCCTCCCATCCCTCCTTCCCTTCCCCTCTTTTTTTAAAAATATGCATGTTTGTGTATGTGTGCATGTATGTGTACACCTGTGTATATGAGTGCCATGGTACATGCATGGTGGGCCTCAGAGGACAAACTTGGCTGTCTTTTCTCCCCTTCCACCTTGTCTGAAACAAGGTTTCTCCCTCCACTCATATCTCCCTCTTTCTCCTTCTCTCATAGGCTACCTGGCCCTGGAGCTTCTGGGGACTTTACCCTCTTTGACTCCTATTTCCCCATAGGAGCTGGAAGATGATAGATACTTGCTGACACATCTGATTTTATGTGATTCTGGAAACTTGAACTCAGGCCCTTCACACTTGCTGGGCAAGTGCTTTACCTACTGTGCCATTTCCCCTGGCACCAGTCTAATTTTTAAAAAGAGGGCTGGAGAGATGGCTCAGTGGTTAAGAGCATTGCCTGCTCTTCCAAAGGTCCTGAGTTCAATTCCCAGCAACCACATAGTGGCTCACAACCTTCTGTAATGAGGTCTGGTGCCCTCTTCTGGCCTGAAGGCATACATGTAGACAAACTATTGTATACATAATAAATAAATAAATATTTTTAAAAAAAGAAAGGAAGGAAGGAAGAAAGAAAGAAAGAAAGAAAGAAAGAGTTTCACTATATAGACCTGGCTAGCATGGAACTCACCAAGCTGGTCTCAAATTTAGAGATCCACCTGCTTCTGCCTCCTGAGTAATGGAATTAAATGTGATCCATCAAGTGGATATTGGGATTCTAACCCAGCTCCTCTACAAGAACAGCAAGAAGTTTTAGCCTCTGAACCATCTGTCCAGGCCTCTGTTCATGTTTTTGAGACAGTGTCTCATGTAGCCCAGGTTGGCCCCAAACTCACTGCGTGACTAAGGATGGCCTTGTCCTCCTGGTCCTGTTGTCCCCACCTCCCAAGTGCTGGGATCACTGGAGAATGTCACCATGTCCCCTTGTTTACTTTCCCTTCTTTCTTGTTCTGACAGTTTTGCTTTTTAGAGTAGACTTGGCCTTGAACTCTAGATCCTCCTTCTTCAGCATCCCAAGTGCCAGCATGCCCAGCAGGAAAGACCTTGCTAGCAAGACCCTGTGTTGAGGGTGAGGACATTTCTGAAAAGATCTAAAAGAAACTGACAGCAGCAGCAGCAGCAGCAGGAGGAGGAGGAGGAGGAGGAGAAAGAGTCTATGAACCTTATTTTTCACCGTGTTTATGGATAAAATGCTTGCACACTCTAAAATTCCAGTCCTTATGTGAATCTAACCAGGGCTTCTGCTTTGGAAAGGGCTCTCCTGGGAGCTCAGTGGCAGAGCTCATGCTTAGCCAGAGCGAGGCAAAGTCCCAGTTGCAGTGAGGCAGTGCCCAAAATTATCTGGAAAAAGGGTGAAAGTTGGGAAAACAGGACGGCAGGCACTGCCCCATCCTCCTGAGATCACTCTTCCAGTATCAGCAGGGGAGACTGGCATCTTAGCAGAAGAAGCAGGGGCAGAGAACCTTTATCCAGGGTCACCAGAGAACCCCGGTGAAACCAGGCACAGGGGCACATGCCTGTAATCCTAGTCCTTGGGAGGTTCAAGCAGGACTGACATGATTCTGTTATGATTCACACTTTGGAGGTCAGCCTGGACTACAGATTGGGGGTGGGGGTGGTGTGGTGGAGCATGCCTTCAAGCCCAGCACTCACAAGGCAGAAACAAATGAAGGGATCTCTGTGATTTCGAGGCCAGCCTGATCTACAGAGCCTGTTCTAGGACAGCCAGAGTCACACAGTAAGACTTTCTAAAATAAAAGAAGAAGCAGGGAGAAGGAGGGTGCCATAGAGAGCGGCAGAGGGGTGGCAACTCTCTTATGGTCCTTCCCCCAAATAAGACCTTCTAAAATAAAAGAAGGAGGGGGAGAAGGAGGGTGCACTAGAGAGCGGCAGAGGGGTGGCAACTCTCTTATGGTCCTTCCCCCCAAAGCACCAGGGTAGAGGAAGTTTCCTTTCCGCCTCCCACCCCATACCCCCTGCCCTGGTGGGATGCAACCTGCAGCTACTGCTTTAGAGGTCTGGCCTCACTCTAGGAAGATTAAGTCCAGCCTTCGCCCCGCCTCCTCCCACCCGCTAAGTTTAAGAGCCCTTGCAAACAACTGATCCCTGGGATCTTGATTCACCAGTCTCCTGTCCCTTTAGTAGGGTGGTCTCTCTCTTTCTTATTGAGCTCCTTGCACAGCCCTGGAGATCGTCTCGCTCTTCTCCAGAGTAGGTCCTCTCAGGAGTCTCGCCATGTCCGGCCCAGAGCCTCAGCAGCCTGCTCTCTCAGGCGCTCAGGTCCAGCCCGGGCACTTGGACCCCTGTCCCTTGGCTGTGTCCCCAGTGGTCCCGCGCCGCCTAGCTCAGGGACGCCTGGAGTCCTCCTTTTCTGTTGAAGCCATCCTGGCCAGACCTGAGACCCATAAGAGAGTGGTCACCCCACCGCCGCTCTCCACCTGCACACGTCTGAACCTCTGCTCCGTGTCACAGTACCCGGTCCTGCCTTGGGTGTGCTCTGCAGCGACTTGGCTGCCCGCCTACCTGAGCTTGGGCGTCCACCCGCTTTGCTCCATGCCCTGCGTACCCGGATTCAATGTGGCTCACCTCTTCTGCCAGCAGGGCCTCAGCCTCACAGGTACTGGGATGGAGCTTGGTAGCAGATGGCATCAAAGGGGAATCCTAGAGTTAGCCAGGGGCGATGGTGTATGCCTGTAATCACAGCTGCTGTGATTTCACAGCTGTAACAACCATGTCATGTCACGTCCAGAAGACAGCTTTTCACACATTTTTTTCCTATTCTGCTGGCTCTTTAACACCTCCAGGTTATTGTTTATGTATATTCGTATGCATGCAGGTGAGTGCACATGGGTGTGGATGCCGGAGGTCACTATCGGGTGTCCTCAATACCTTTACACCTTAGCTTTTTTTTTTTTTAGCTTTTAATTGTTTTTATTGAGCTATATATTTTTCTCCATGTTCCTTCCTTCCTCTCCCCTCTCCTTCTGTCCTCTCCTACGGTCCCCATGCTCCCAATTTACTCACGAGATCTTGTCTTTTTCTATGTCCCGTGTAGTTTAGATCCATGTATGTCTCTCTTAGGGTCCTCATTGTTGTCTAGGTTCTCTGGGATTGTGATATGTAGGCTGGTTTTCTTTGCTTTATGTCTAAAAGCCACTTAAAAGTGAATAATATGATATTTGTCTTTCTGGGTCTGGGTTTCCTCACTCAATATGATGTTTTCTAGATCCATCCATTTGCCGGCAAATATCAAGATGTCATTGATTTTTTGTTTGTTTGTTTGTTTTCGCTGTATAGTACTCCTTTGTGTAAATGTACCACATTTTCCTTATCCATTCTTCGGTCAAGGGGCACTTATCCACCTTATTGTTTAAGGATGTTTTTACTTTTACTTATGTGTATATGTGAATGCACACCTGAGGTGGCCAGAAGAAAACCTCGGATTCCCTGGAGCCAGTTAGAAGTACAAGTGGTTGTGAGCCATTGGGCATGGGTGCTGGGAACCACACCTGAGGCCTCCGGAAGAGCAGCAATTGCTTGTAATTGTCAAGCCATCTGTCTTTCTATTCCTTTTCCGTCTTCATTTTGAGACATAACCTCTCACTTAATCTGAGGTTCTCCAATTGGCTGCACTGGCTGGCCAAATAGCTCCCCAAGCGCCCTCCTGGTCTCCATAAGCTCAACCCTGCAGATTTTTCCCCTTGTGCTGGAGAACGGAACACAGGTCCTCAGTCTTGTGCCATTCTGGTTTACTGACTGAGGCATCTGCCCAGCTCTTTTGGGGTTATTGCTATATAGCGTCTTCTACTTCCCTATGTTACCTGGCCAAGGGGATGGGAGAGACTTGGAGCCTGTAAGTTTTTTCTGTTCTCCACAGTGTGTGTGTGTGTGTGTGTGTGTGTGTGTGTGTGTGTGTTGGGGGGGTCAGGGGAGTAGGCATGTGGCTGCTGGCTGACTTCCTCTGCTGTTGGTTGTTCTCTAGGCTCGGAGCTGCCTTACTGTCCAGGCCTCTGGAGCCCTCTGGACTGGGCACCTTCCGTGGACCTTCAGGACACAGAGAGACACCAAAAGAGGGTCCGCACAATGTTTAACCTTCAGCAGCTGGAAGAGTTGGAGAAGGTGTTTGCGAAGCAGCACAACCTGGTGGGGAAGAAGAGAGCCCAGCTGGCTGCCAGGCTACACTTGACAGAGAACCAGGTAAAAACAGGGACCTGAGGCTCAGGCTGTGTGGCGACCGTCACCATCTTCTGATAGGCTCTTAGTAAGGGTTGGGAGGAAGCCATGACATTTTTTCTCTGGACTAGAATGCTGGGGAGAGAGGCCTAATTGCTTACACATTCTGTATGTCACATAATATTCCAATATGGAGTTACATTATACACATATTACTCTAGTACTAGCTCCTTTTTATTTTTCGTGTGTGTTTTGCATATGTGTGTGCATGTTTCTGCGTGTGTGCAGGCACACACATGTGCCAGTATGTGTGCATGTGGAGGAGGCCCAAGGTTGATGTCAGGACTCATTCTCAGTTGCTCTTCCACTTTGTTCGCTGGGTCAGAATCTCTCAGTCGAACCCAGAGCTGGGATTTTATGGCCGGTCTCTTTGGACCTGCTTGCTCTGGGGATCCTGTCTCTGCTTGCTGAGGCTGGAGTTACAGGTGAGTTTCTGGAGATCTGAACTCTGCTCTTCAGGCTTTCTTAGCAAGCCTGAGACTGAGCCATCTGGGCCATTTCCCCAGTCCCCTCTGGTATCTTCTGGTTGTTTCCATGCTAAAGAAGGGGCTGTCAGAAAAACCAAGTGGGTATTCAAGAGGCTCAATATTTAAGTAGTGACTGTTCCCTTGCCCCCAAACTCTGTGGTTACTGTATCTCTGCACCATTCCACTTGTAGGCAGACTCCTCAGGAGTTTGCTAAGCTCACTGTCATCCTGTCCTCACTTCCATTCACTCTTGTTTTTCCGTGTGTGTGTGTGTGTGTGTGTGTGTGTGTGTGTGTGTGTGCGTGTGCGTGTTGAAACAGGTTCTTATGTATCTCAGGCTGGTCTTGAACTAGCTAGCCAAAGATAATCTTGAACTTCTAATCCTCCTGCCTCTCCTCCCAAGCACTAAGGTGACACACGTTTACCATGGTGCTGAGTGTCCAATCCAGATATTTATGTGTGTTAGACCCATGTTCTGCCAACTGATCTCTGTTTCTTTTGAATTCATCCCATCATGATGGGATTAAAGGTGTGCACCACCACCTGTCTACAAAACCTCAATTCTTTTTTTTTTTTTGATTTTTCGAGACAGGGTTTCTCTGTAGCTTTTGGTTCCTGTCCTGGAACTAGCTCTTGTAGACCAGGCTGGCCTCGAACTCACAGAGATCCGCCTGCCTCTGCCTCCCGAGTGCTGGGATTAAAGGTGTGCGCCACCGCCGCCCGGCAAAACCTCAATTCTTAATTGTTTTTCTTCCCTAAATCTCTTTCCTCATCCATGGTCAGACCACCCAGCCAGTTACTTGAAAATGAAGTCATCCTAGATTGCTCTTCCTCCTCCGACTTCTAACCCCTCGACCTCTGACCTGCTAATGGAATTGCTTCACTTCCCATTGTCTCCGCTTTATATCCCTACATATCCCAGCTCCCCCTGGGTACCGCTATGACCTCCTGGCTGTCTTCTTGCCTTTGCCTCCATCAAGCCCGCACAGATCAGTCAGCTGTGCAGTTCACTTCAGGACAATGCTACATCCCATTTGCAGCCTCAAAAGGGACTTTCTCTTCCTGTGGCCTTCAAGATCCTGGGTGTCCTGGCTCTTCTGACTCTCATTTCCCTGCCTTTTCTTCCTTGCAGCTGTGCTCTCCTTTCTGGCCCTCACCTTGAGTTTGAGGTCAACTGAGAGCCATTCCATCGGCTGTCTCCCTGTTCTACCCAGTCTGTTTCTTTCTGTCCCTACCGGGATGGACCTTATCTTCAAAGAGATCACCCAACCAAAGCCTCGGTTTGTGCCTTCACTTATACCTTCTAATTATTACTCATTTCTGTTGTGGCTTCTTCTACTAGATGATGAACTCCAGAGCAGAGGGACCGGCCTCTCTTACTTGCCACTGTCACCTAGTACAGCACAGTACACTGTAGTCACAAGTACTCACAGGGGGCTAGAGCATAGCTCAGCTGGTAGAGCATAGCTCAGCTGGCAGAGCGCTCATCTCAAATGCACAAAGCACTGGGTTCAATTTCCAGCACCACATAAAACGGGCATGGTGGCATACACCTGCAATCCTAGCACTTGCGGGGGGCAGAAGCAGGGGGACCAGGAGTTCACGATCATCTTGAGCTACATAGCGAGCCTGGGTGATATGAGCTATCATCTCAAAAGAACAAAGGTACACACTGGGATGAATGGGTGGTGAAAGGAATGGCATTTTGGAGGAGATGCTTAGTTCGTCAGGAAAAACAAATTTTGTCCAGACGGCAAGAGTTGGGCACTTTTGGAAGTGAGTGGAGGGTAAAAGGGACCTGCTGGCCAAATTCTGATGCTTTTCCACTGCCCCCAATTGCAGGTGAGGATCTGGTTCCAAAATCGCAGGGTGAAGTATCAGAAGCAGCAAAAGCTGAAATCACCTTCCTCCTCTGCCATGGAAGAGCCCTCCAGCAGCTCAGATGGCAGCATCCGGAGTGAAGATGCTGAGTCAGGAGCTGGCAGTTAAGGACTGAGCCAGAGGCATGCTACATGTGCTGGTGTTTTCAGGGGACACCGATTGGACCTCCCAATCCCACATTCCAACAAAGAGTTTCCTTAAGGTTCAAGGACACCAAATGTCAATCAAGCAATGGACAATCAAGCAGGAGTTCCCTGGGAGCAGACTATTGGAATGATCTATGTCCTTGGCTAGGATAGCAGGTATATTGAGGACTTACACATCTCTCCAGGGGGAGGTGAGGTCTGCAATGCACTTACAGAGTGCAAGCCCAGAGGTCAGGGTGGAACTGGCGAGGTTTACAGGTCCTCTCACCTAGGGAATGGAAGCACCTGCCCCAGCTCTGCCCTGAGGAAGGACTCATCAACTCTTTCCTGGCCTTGCTGTGGAGAAGGGACCCTTTAAATGAACATCTGGGTGTGAAAGACTTCCTGGAGTCTGGAGGGAAGCATATTGCTTAGTACACTTGGCACAAAATTTCCACATTTCAACCCTGCTCCTCTTCATCTTCTCCACCCCCCTCTGTTGTTGACGGAGGTTTCTGTCCTGCCCCATCCCATTCAGCCCCAAATAAACACATAGAGGTCTACATTAATTATAAACTGGATTAGCTCAGGCTTATTAACTCTTACATCTTAAATTAGCCCATAATACTTGTCTGTTTAGCCACGAGGCTTGGTACCTTTTATCATTGAGGCATTCTCATCTTTTGACCTCTGTGTCTGGGTGACGACTACAGACTGAGCCTTTCCTCTTCCCAGAATTCTCCTGTTCTGGTTGCCCCACCTATACTTCCTGCCTGGCTACTGACCAATCAGCATTTTATTAAACCAATACAACTGGCAAATCTTTACAGAGTACAAGACCATAGTCCCACAGCACTCTGTATCTGAGGATGGCTGTGCAGTCCTGGCCCTCCTGCCTCTACTTCTCACATGCTGGAATGTGGGATGACACCTTTTTTAAATTTTTAAAAATTTTTTTAAGGGTTTTCAAGACAAGATTTCTCTGTAGCTTTGGAACCTGTCCTGGCACTAGCTCTTGTAGACCAGGCTGGCCTCAAACTCACAGAGATTCACCTGCCTCTGCCTTCCAAGTACTGGGATTAAAGGCATGTGCCACCACCGCCCAGCAACAACTTTTTTTTATACAGATTTATATTATGTTGCACAGACTGACCTCACACTCGTGGAAGTTCTCCTGCCTCAGCCTCTTTAGTGCTAAGATAACAGATGAAAACCTCAATGTTTTGTCCAACATTTTCTTATTTTGTCTGTTTCCAGTTTCAGTATGAGCTCACGTTTATTGTAATGGTTTCTTTTGGAGCAACACACTAATTTGTCCACCATCTTTTTCTCTGAAGTGCCTACCTTTTCCTCCTAAATTTATGTTGACCTCATTTTGTCATAGCTTCTTTTCACCCAGCACTGACAATGCCGTTCCTCCCTGAATGACCCCCTCACCCTGTTTGATTTCTTGCTAGGAAGCCTGCTGAGAGCCTTTTCTCATGAAGTCAGCTTCCAACATTAATAACTGACTTCTGTAGTGCAGATTGTCCAGCCACAGCTCCTGGACTGAGGTGAGGTGATGGGGTGAAAGAAGGCCTGATCTTCGTTTACTAGGTTGTTCTCAGGGCCCAAGTTTCTGGGGAAAGAGGAAGGAAGGAGGGTGGTGGAAACTGAGCTTTGAAAGTAACCAGCACAAGACAGTGGGCTTTAGCCAGAAGTGGTGGTGTATGCTTTTAACCCCAGCATTCAGAAGGCAGAGGCAGGTGGATCTCGAGGCTAACCTGGGCTGCAGAGTGAGTTCCAGGACAGCCAGGGCAACATAGAGAAACCTTGTCATAAAAACAAACAAACAAAAAATAAAAAAAAGGAGCTTGATGGTGGTGGCACACATCTTTTAATCCCAGCACTCAGGAGGCAGAGGCAGACAGATCTTTGTGAGTTCGAGGCCAGCCTGGCCTACAAAGTGAGTTCCAGGACAGCCAGGGCTGGTACACACAGAAATCTTGTCTCGAAAAACCATTTAAAAAAAACGAAAACAAACAAACAAACAAAAAAAAACCCCAAACCAAAAGAGAACAGTGGACTTGCAGGCATTAAATGGCAGGCTAGAGGGAATGAGAGCTTTGTGACCCGAGAAAGCATCCTTTGGAGCTGAGCAGGGTGGTGCAAACCTAGGTGTTAGCACTAGGGAGGCACAGGCAGAAGGATGGTGAACTTGAAGTCAACCAGAGCTATGAGGCCAGCCTAGAGTAAATAGTGAGATGCTAGCATGTCAAAAACAAGGGCTGCTAGAAGGCTCAACAGTAAAGACTCTTGCTGCCACACCTGAAGATCTGAGTTTGATCCCTGGAATCTACATAATGGAAGGAGAGAAGAGTCTCCCCCAGTGCACACACCCACACAGAGACACTTACACAGTAACTGTAAAGAAACCAAATTAGCCAGTCGGTGGTGGTACACGCCTTTAATCCCAGCACTCAGGAGCAAGAGGAAGTTGGATCTCTGTGAGTTTCAGGCCAGCGTGAAGACATAGAGACTTTGTCTCAAAATAAACAAAAAATAAAAACATCACTTCTGAAATAATTACTAGGCTGTTACCTAATCCTCAAGTGTCACCATGAAACCATAGCCGAGCAGACAGAGTTCCGTTGTCAAGGACTATATAGTCAACTGAGGGATGAAACAAGAAAATAAGGTATGGTCAGGTCTAGCTGCAGGAACAGGAGCAGCCCTCTTCTGGTCTCAGGACAATGCCTGTGCGCATTCATTTCTGCAGCTAGTTAAGAGTTCCTCACATCTCACCTCTGCTCCATAACCCCACTCTGCAGTCAAGAAAGTCCCTGTCAGCTCAGGCACTGGTTAAAATAAAATAGTCTGACAACGGCAGGAGGGTTTATAGAAAAAGGAAATAATTTTTTTCTTTTTAATTTTTGTTTAAATTTATGTGTATGATTGTTTGCCTGCTTGTGTATATGTGCACTATGTGTGTGCCTGGTGCCTAAGGAGGCAGAAAAATGACATCAGAGCCCTCTGGAACTGGAGTTACATACAGATAGTTGTGAACCAGTGTTGGGAACCAAACCTGGGTCCTCTGCTAGAGCAACAAGTGCTAATTGCCAATCATCTCTGCAGCCCCTAAGTTTTCTTTTTTCAGACAAGGTTTCAGGTACTCCAGGCTGGCGTTGTGTTCACTATGTAGCTGAGGATGACCTTGAAATTCTGGTCCTCTCAGTGCACAGGTATTAGGCATAGCCATCGTGTTGGGTTTAAGCAGTGGTGGGGCTCAAACTCTCTACCTGCATGCAAGGCAAGCGCCCTTAACAACTGTAGAGCAGAAATGTTGCCAACCAAGACAGGGGAGTTTTTAAACTGTGAGTGAGCCCCAACAACTAAACTGCTTCTTCCTTTCAGGATGAGGGTCAAAGAGAAACTGAGTAAGTCAGTCTTCTGCTGTAACACACCTCGCAGTCTAAAAAAGATTTTGTTCATTGTCGGGAGGACAGTGAAGGTTTTCTGAAGCGCAAGGATGTCTGCAAGCTCATGGCCAGCCTGGGGTACATAGTGAGACCCTGTCTCAAAAACCAGACAGCGCGAAAAGAAGCAACAATGGACACTTATGAACACAGACTGGGTTTTGTGGCGCTAGGGATAGACTAAGGGGGCTCCCTCTGGGCTCCCTCGTCAGCCGTCATTAGTGGACTCCGACACTGACCACCGAGTCTGAAACACAGTCTACTAGAAGTGCAAGCACACAGGCAGGCCCGGTCCACCCAGTCAAACGACCAAGACATCCAAAACCTTGCCTCGCTGCAGACCAAAACCGGCGGCGTGGTTCAGCACGTCCTGGGGCGGGGTGCGGATGGAGGGTGGGCGCTAGGCGGCTCGATGGGCGGGGCTTCCCGGGACCGGGTCAAGGGTCAGAAGGCGGAGGCGTGCCCAAGATGGCTGCCTCCATGTGCGACGTGTTCTCCTTCTGCGTGGGCGTGGCGGGCGGCGCCCGGGGCGCCGTGGAAGTCCGTTTTGTGAGCAGCGCCAAGGTGAGGCCGGACGGGATCCCGCCGGGGGAGACGCCACGGGGACCCGTGCCCACAGCCTGGAGTTCGGCCTGCTCGGCGCCGGCCTGGCCCCTACTCGGGCCCGGGGCGCAGGGTCTGCCCTCGCTCCGAGGCTCGTGGCGATTTCGCGCGGGGGAAGCTCACCCTGGAGCCTGCGTGCGCACCCCTCCCGGCCGAACACGGCCCACTGGCTCGTGGTGGGACTGCGATGTCCTGGGTGGAGTTGAGGCTTTGGGAGGTCCTGGGGTTGGGACAATCTCCTGGACCAGGTTGGGGAGCTCTTGGCTAGGTGTGGGGCGTGGCTTGCTGATCAGAAGGCGGTGGGTGGGGAGTGCTTAGCCAAGGGAACTGAGGTATAAATCACCCTGGCACCCCAGCGTCCCTTCTCAATGAGGTATGGGTGGAGGCTTGGAGAGTTAGGAAGCTTGGACCAGAACCCACATACCGAGTGCTTATCTGAAGGGTTTTAAATAAGAAAATGGTATGATTTCGTGACAGGGTCTCACTGTGTAGCTCTGGCTGGCCTCGAACTCACTGTGTATGTAGATCAGGCTGACTTTTGCCTCTCCAGTACTGGGATTAAAGGTGGGTACCACTATGCCCGGCTCTATTATCGTGTTTTATTCCTTGTAGAATAGAAAATGCACATAAGTAAAGATAAAAATCACTTGGTATTGTACTTGTGCACATGTAAGTATATTAAAGTTACATCTTTTTTTTTTTTTTTTTTTTCGAGACAGGGTTTCTCCGTAGCTTTTAGTTCCTGTCCTGGAACTAGCTCTTGTAGACCAGGCTGGCCTCGAACTCACAGAGATCCACCTGCCTCTGCCTCCCGAGTGCTGGGATTAAAGGTGTGCGCCACCACTGCCCGGCTTAAAGTTACATGTTTAAAAGCTACCTCTTTAGTTTGAAAAGAGGGCTTCTTGTATTGAAGGGTGGCCTTGAACTGATCTTCCTGCTCTCACCTCCCGGGCTGGGTTACTGCGTGGTAGTGCCTGAAACACCCCCTCCCCTGTTTTCTTTCAGTACATCTTCCATATCCTTGAGTCCATTTCTATTTGGTTAGAGTTGACTGATGTGTTTCAGGGGAGAGCCACACTTCACTCAGCCAAATCCTTACTATGGCTCCTTTATGTCAAAACTTATTCATCACCCCTGGGAGCAAAGGTCTCACTGCTGGGTTTCAGTGCAGAAAGACTTGGTTATTTCCAGCACTCTTTTTTTCCTCTGACTCTGCCAGTTGACATATGCAAATGGTTTATCGTTTGCATTCCTAAGGATGAACGTCGAGTTGAACTAGTAATAATATAGTAATAATGATGTGCATATCCTTGGTCCTTGGCTCAGGATGTTAGCTCTGGAGTCATCTGCTGTCAGCATCTCCAGATGGTACAGGTTTCCATCCCAAACTCTTTTAGTCTTTTTGTTCTGTAGGCATTGGGAGCACTCCTCTCCTTGGGTGCAAAGTCAGCTCCTATATCCTTTGTGTCCTTAGCTGTTCCCATTCCCATTTCCACCCAGAGCTTCTGGTGCTTCTGGGGACCCACAGTTTGAGGTGTCTCAGATCCCGTAATAATCACCGTTCATCTCTACTACCCCTTCCCTATCCTGGCCTTCTCCGTTCTTCACTTCCAGCTCATTTTTCACTTCTGCCAATCTCCTTGCTAGTTCTGCCCCCGCTTGTCTCGGGACCCCAGCTGGTGATTAGCCCTGGCCTGTTCTCCAGCACTCAGGAGACTGAGCAGGAGGACTGTTGTGAGTTCTAGGTCAGCCTAGGGTACAGAGGAAAATCCTGCCTCAAAAACAAACAGGAACTCCAACTGGTCATGTTCCTCTGCTTAGCCCTAACCTCCTGCTGGGGAGAATTGCCTTCCTGTGTAGACTCAGCTTATCATGGGCGTCTGGCAGCTGTGCCATCTGTCGTGACTGATGTATACTAGTCTTCTCCCTTTGTGCTGGCTTCCTCAGGTTACCACACTTACGCCTGCCTTAGGGTAGAAAGTTTTAGAGAACTATCTCCTGAAGCATGACGGGAGGGGTCAAGTGCGAGCTAGTTTTAGCCACTTTGTACTGCTTCTGTGGAAATTAGGAGGAATAATCTATGAATTGTTATGCCAGAGACAAATCAGTGGGGACAGAAACCTAACTTGAGGTCCAATAGGTGCCAGTTGGAATGTGTACACTAGCTAGGTTCCAGCATGGCTCGCTATTTTGGGCTTCCTTGCTTTTGAATTATCTTGATTATTGTATTTTTCTATAAAAAAAATCACTTGTGGAAGATTATATATTTTTAATGGAATCTCCTGCTCTTTAAAGTGTTTTATTATTGCTTGTGTGGATGGTATGTGTGTGTATCTGGACATGGATGCGTGCGTGCAACATCCTGTAGAGGTCAGAAGACAACGTTCAGTAGCCGGGTCTCTGTTTCCACTGTGAGCTCTGGAGATGGAACTCGGTCATCAAGTTTGATGCAGCAAACACTTTCACCCACTGAGCCACCTGGCTGCCATAATAAATAAGACTTACATATACTGTATGGTCTAAGAGTTTTGTGTAATCATCTCTTAAAGTTTGTATTCCCTCCCTCTTCTCCTCCCTTCTCTTGTCCCCTTCTTCCTTCTGATGTGGTCTTACTGTGTATTATGTCAGAGGTTCTCTCAACCTGTGAGTTACAGTCTGTTTCACAGGAGTTGCCTAAGACCATCAGAAGACAGATGCTCAATTACATTTCATAACAGTAACAAAATTACAGTTATGGAGTAGCAACGAAATAAGGTTATGGTTGGGGTCGCCACACACGAGGAAGGCAGAGAACCACATTACATAGATCGGGTTAGCCTTTAATTTAAGGTAGTCCTCATGCATCAGCCTCCCAGATTCTGAGACACCAAGCAGGTGTGAGCTCCAGTGCCCAACCTTGCATGCTTCCTGATCTGCATTGGAGCTGTTTTTCTTGAAATACTTTTGTATGTTTGAGGACTGAGTGACATTAGAAAGGAACAACTCTTGATTCTTTCTCTTTGCTTGTTTTTGTTTGTTTTGTTTTTTTATTTTAAATTTATTTTATGTGCATTGGTGTGAAGGTGTAAGATTCCCTGGAACTGGAGTTACAGACAGTTGTGAGCTGCCATGTGGGTACTGGGAAAGAACCTACTTCCTCTGGAAGAGCAATCTGCTCCTAACCACAGAACCATCTCTGCAGCCCTGTTGTTTTTTGAGTGACCTTGAACTCCTAATTCTCCTTCCTCCTAAATGTTGGGGTTACAGACACCAGCCACCATTCCTCTGGCTCTCCTTTGCTTTAGTGACTAAATATTTTCTGTGTTTGGTCATCCAGGACCTAAGGGAGAGGGAGAGGTATAGGTATCCTTTTTTTCCTCCCCTAGACAGGATTTCTCTGTGAAGGCTTGGCTGTCCTGGAAGTCATTCTGTAGATCAGTGTGGCCTCTCCTTCTGCATCAGAGATCTGCCTGCTTCTGCATTCCAGAGGATAAAACGAGTTTGAAGACAGCCTGTGGGGTGTGTGTGTGTGTGTGTGTTTGTGTAAGGGGGGGAGAGAGAAAGAATAGTTCAAGGGTTGTTTCCCTCACTTTTCATCCTGATGTTCGAAGTGTGCCACTAGGCTTCTTAACCTTTGGTTCCAGGATTAAAGTCATGCACCATTATGTCTGGTTAGTTACCCAGTTTCAAGATTTGAAATTGTCAGAGGTCACATGGGTCTCTCTGTTCTGGCTGCTTTGTCCATTCCAGGAAGGCTGAGTTTTCATTTTGCTTGGTTGATCCCAGGGGCAACAAAGTGTAGAGACAAGGCTTCCAAGAAGGAAGACAAGGGGGGTTGTGGGCTTCGCTGTCACCTTATTTCTCCTTCTCTATCCTATAACTAGCTTCTGGAGTGGGGTAGTGGCACATACCTGTTATCCCTACCTTTAGAAGAACTAACACACTTTCAGGGTTAGCTTAAAAGAAAGAGAAGCTATCTGGGTTATGCATAGGTTGAGATTTGCTCTGAGGGTGGCAAAGGCCCATCTGTATCCAGTGCCAGTGCTGAAGGGAAACAGGAAGCTGCTGTGGCGAGCACAGTGACAGGGCATTTTCTCTGCCCCGTTGTGATGGCAGCTCTGTTGGCAGGAGCACCATCACTTGCTGAAGCAGTAAGTGTCAGCAGAACCATTAACTGCCTAGGCTCCAAGTTCTCGTGAGTTCTTAATCTTGCTCAGAAAATAGCAGTGGAACCAGAGGTGGTAGCTCATACCTGTAACTTTAGCATTCCAGAGGACAAGTTTGAAGCCAGTGCCTGTCCGTCCGTTTGTCCCTCCCTCTGTGTGTGTGTGTGTGTGTTAGAGAATAGTTTAAGGGCTCTCTCTTTGCCCTGATGTGTAAGGTGTGCCAGGTTAGGCTTTTTCTTTTCTTTTTTCTTTCTTTCTTTCTTTTTTTTTTTTTTTTCTTTTCGAGACAGGGTTTCTCTGTAGCTTTGGTGCCTGTCCTGGAACTAGCTCTTGTAGACCAGGCTGGCCTCGAACTCTCAGAGATCCACCTGCCTCTGCCTCCCAAGTGCTGGGATTAAAGGCGTGCGCCACCACCACCCAGCTAGGCTTTTTATTTTCAAGACAGGGTTTCTCTGTATAGTCCTGGCTGTCCTGGAATGCACTATGTAGACTCTAGGTTTTGAACTCAGAAAGAAATCTGCCTGCCTCTGCCTCCCTAATGCTAGGATTAAAGGCATATACCACTATTGTCTGATTTCTTAACCTTTAACATACATAGAAATTTCCATAATCCTATTAAGATGCAAATTTTTGGCCTATGATATCGCTCAGATGGGAAAAGTGCTTGTCATGCAAGCCTGAGAACTTGAGTTCATTCCCCTGTTCCCATAGTAACAGGAGAGAACCGAACCCCATGACTGCTGAAGATTGTCATCTAACTACCACACAGCATCTGCACTCACGCACGTGCATCACACATAGACACATAGACACACATACTAACATAAAGATGCAGATTCTGATTTACGGGTCTGGGCAGGACCTGAGATTTGCCGTTTAAACCCTGGCTAGTGACAAGGTAGAGTTCATGAGGGTGCTCACGTGCACTGTATCGCCACACCTCGGGAACTACCTGGCAGAGTTACTGGATTACCCACTTCTCCAATAGGAAGCATTCACTGGGAGGGTCCCAGGGGGTGTTGGGAGCTGGCTCGAGGACTAATTTAGTGCTTTGTGCATCCCTGAGCCCTGACCAAAGAAGAGATCAGTTCTCCCCGGGACTGGGCTGCTTTCTGCTGGGTTCCAAGATTTCTCTGTAACCCTGAGCAGCAGGGTTTCTAGGGGAACTGAGGATGGTGCCATCCTGATAGCCCTGCTGGTATAGGAGGCCCCAGCCTACTAGGAATCTTGGCCTTGCCCCCAGCTTTTCTGAAATGTCTATCTTCAGGTATCCAGGTGGCTGCTGAGGTGGCTCCCTCCTTGACCAGGTACTTCAGTCCTGTGGACAGAGAGAGGTGCAGCCGACAGTAGGTTAGTCAGCTTCTAGAGTAGGCATTAAAGGAGGCTGATGACCGCTCTCACCAGAGGTGCAGCTGGTCAGCCTCCTGAGAGCTCTTGGAACTGTGTCTTTGTTAAAAGTTATTTTTATGTGTGTATTTGCCTAAGTGTATCCTACAAGTGCTTAGTGTCAGTGGAGGCCTTCAGTGTAAGCTGCTTGATGTGAGTGCTGGGAACTAAACTTGGGTCTTGTGGAAGAGCAGCCAGTGTTCTAAACTGTTGAGCCAACTTTTCAGCCTGTTTTTACTTTTGTGTGTGTATACATCTGTGTGCAGGTGTGCAAGCCTGTGTGTGCACAGAGGCCAGAAGAGAGCATTGTGTGTCTTCTTGCATTATGTTCCACCTATTCTGAGGCAGGGTCTCTTCCTGAATCTCGGGCTCATATCTGCTTGGCTCATACCCCACAGGCCCCAGTGATCTTCCTGTCTCTGCCTTCTTTGGAGCTGGGGTTACAGGCATTTGTAGAGACACCTGGATTACTTATGTGGGTACTGGGATCCACACGCTGGTCCTCATGATTATAGAACAAGTACACTTAACTACTGACCGATCTTTCAAGCCTATTTTTTTGTTTTTGTTTTTTAAACCGTCTTATGTAGCCCAGGCTAGCCTTGAACTACTGATCCCCCTGTTTCCATGTGCTAGGATTATAGGCATGTGGCTCTATGGCGGGTTTGGAGCTATTTCTTACCCTGTCTGTTCTCTGCTCTTTTAGGGAAAGGGGCTGTTCGCCACACAGCTGATCCGGAAGGGAGAGACCATCTTCATTGAAAGGCCCCTGGTGGCTTCACAGTTTCTCTGGAATGCACTTTATCGGTATCGAGGTGAGTACATCTTGCCTGCTTCAGGTGGGTGGCCGGGCCCAGCCATTTTGTGCATGGAAGAGAGCCTCACACATCTTCAGGCTAACCCTCTGGGTGCTGGGAGGAAATGCTGTCTTTCCCTAGAGAACAGGACCTGAGAACCACATCACTGCTTACCTCTGTGTTTGGGACTGTGTACCGGGAATGGGGGGGGGGGGGTCCCTCCAAAATGGTTCTTGGGGACGATGCTCTCTTAGTCTGCACTCATAATGTAAGTGTCTGGATATCACATTGAAGGGCTCTGTACCAAATCAGACGTCCCTACTAAAAGGCCATGCATAACCCATGCTCAGTGAAGACTGAGTTAGGGGCCAGAGCAAGTGGGATCCTTAGCTTTGCCAGCCACAGGCCTTTCCATATTTTTCTGAGGCAGGGATCCCCATGACTGAGTCTGATGGAAAGACAGTGGAGGAGATCAGGAGGAGCTAGAGGGTTCTTGAAAGAGGGCACTCACTGTGTCTGGCTTCCTTGCAGCTTGTGACCACTGTCTTCGGGCACTGGAGAAGGCAGAGGAGAATGCCCAGAGGCTGACTGGGAAACCAGGCCAGGTTCTCCCACACCCAGAGCTGTGCAGTGTGCGCAAGGACCTCCACCAGAACTGCCCCCACTGCCAGGTGAGCACCCCTGGGGAATGCCCTGGGGAGGGGGAGGGAAAAGGCCAAGGAGACTTTAGTGTGTGACAGTGAAAGGGCCCAGGAATTGTTTAGCTTCCTTGTGGTCAGTGTCCGTCATCCAGAAAGCAGGTGTGGCGGGACATGCCTTTTTCTTGGTAGTCTGTCAGGAGCTGAAAAGCTCTTCCCTTCATGTAGTATAACAAGGTTAGGTTAGGTGCATGCCCCTAGAACATCTGTAATTACCCTCTCTGAGCTCTCGTTCTGGGGCTGTTAGGGAAAGAATGCATTTGAACGAGGTGAGTACCCAGGTCCTGGGGGCTAACGTCCACCCCACCTCAGGTGATGTACTGCAGTGCAGAGTGTCGGCTGGCAGCTGCGGAGCAATACCACCGCATCCTGTGCCCAGGCCCATCCCAGGACGACCCCCGGCACCCCCTCAATAGGCTGCAGGAGGCATGGAGGTAGGTATCTTCTTGTCTTTACCCTTGCTTCCATTCCTGCCTGGGCTCCACAGCTGTTGGGAGCTGTTGGGAGTTCCATCCCCAAGATGTTTTCTCCACTGTTAGGCTTAAACAGAAGTCACAGTTTTTGGCACCGTGCCTTTAATCTGAGCAGCCAGCCCTAGTCTTCATCCCTTTTCAGACCCACAGAGAGATACCCTAAGGATACAGATTTGCCTAAGTACTGCCTTTCATAACTGATGGATGGGCAGGAAGTGTCTCTGTGGCTATCAGAATGGGCTGCCCCTAGGGAGGGAATTTCTAGGCTACACTTTCTCTTTTCCCAGGAGTGTTCACTATCCTCCGGAGACAGCAAGTATAATGCTGATGGCTCGGATGGTGGCCACAGTGAAACAGGTGAGCCAGAGAAACTGACCCCTAGTCAACCCTGGGGCTCAGTTATCTGACCTTGTTTGGATGCCCTTGCTCCTGGGTTTTCTTGAAAGATAGCTGCTGGCTACAGAGATCCTCCAGTGCTTGTTCACCAGAAACAGGCATGGGCCGTGGCTCTGGTTTTGCCTGTTTTAATTTTTCTATGAGATGTCTGTCTTATGTAGCAGCAGTTCCTGAATTTGATTGACAGGCACCAGTATTCCAGGACAGCATCTCTTACATGAAGTGAGAGATTTCATGCTGACCCCTCTGTCTGTATTGTTCTTCCTCAGTGGCCTTCTATTTTCACAGTGTTTGGAGCTGGCAAGCCCTTCTGTGTGGGCAGAGTGGGAGGGAGACCTGGGCAGAAGCTCTTGGATGGTGATTCCCTAATGGAAGGGACTTGAGAAACATAAGCCCTCTGTTCCACATGGGCACATGGCCTCATGTGTCTTTGTCCTCCAGGCCAAGGACAAGGACCACTGGGTCAGGCTTTTTTCCCAGTTCTGCAGCAAAACAGCCAATGAGGAGGAGGAAATTGTCCACAAACTCCTAGGGGACAAATTCAAGGTTGGTTTTCTCCCATGGCCTCTTTCCCCTACCCTTCAAGTGGCCTGTGGTGTCTGGGCTACCTTTAGGGGACTAACTCCACATTTGGTCTCTTTTCAGCTACAGTAGGAGTTAAAGCCTGGTTCTAAAACTCTCCCCAAAGACTGCGCATTCCTAGCCCCATTTACCTTTGTGACCTAAATATAGACCTAAAATTGGAAGTAGGGAAGAGGGGTTGCATGTCCTACCCAAGAGTACTTGTTACGGCATGTGGAAGGCAAGAGTCGTGAGGAAGGCAGCAGTGGCAGGGCAGGTTTCCTGGAGAGTGGAGGGCGGGGGTCCATAGGTCAGGGAGAGTTGTGAAACTCAGGTGGTGAGAATAAGACACTAAGGACCTCAACCTTCCTTTGGAGCTGCCAGAAGGTAGAGACTGTCCAAGGGAGGCAGACAGAGGGTGGGAATGCAGCTGTGCAAAAGAAGTAGCTCAGGGTGTTGCTTACTAGATCTAGAAAAAGTAAGAACCGATGGCAGTGATGCACGCCTTAATCCCAGCACTCGGGAGGCAGAGGCAAGTAGATTTTGTGAGTTCAAAGCCAGCCTGGTTGACAGAGCGAGTTCCAGGACAGCCAGGGCTGTTATACAGAGAAACCCTTTCTCAAACAAACAACAACAAAAAGAATAAAGAAGGAGAAAGTCAAGCTTGTCAGAGGCCAAGGAAGTCTCAGGGAAGCTCCAAGGGAGGGTGAGGATGGTGCCGCCTCAGCCTTGCTGGAACAAGTACTAGAAACAGGAAGAAGTTTAGGGCTCACACCCATATTTGGATCCCTCAGACAGTTGGAAATAAGTACTGCCTCTGTCCCCAGGGAAAGCTCAGGCCACATATATGACTCCTTTTACCTCTTTCATTTGATTTTTTTTTTTTCTCAACTTACTACCTGGTACTACGGGGAAGTTTCCTGGGCTGCAAGTGTCCCTCTGTTTCCCCTAAACCAGGGCCAGCTGGAACTTCTGCGTAGCCTTTTCACAGAGGCCCTTTATGAGGAGACCCTCAGCCAGGTGAGTGTGGCAGGGTGGGACCTGAAGTCTCTCTTTCCGGTGCTCCAGGCCTAGAGCCGAAGTGAGGCCAGCTCTCAGAAGCCTCCACTGTAGAGATGGATTAGGAAGAGCAGCCCAAGGCTTACCTTTCTCTTCCTACAGTGGTTCACGCCAGATGGATTCCGGTCTCTCTTTGCCCTTGTTGGGACCAATGGTCAAGGGATTGGAACCAGGTCAGGAGAGAATGTTCTAGACCTACTAAGTAGTCCCTTAGTGTTCAGATGGGGGATTAATGTAGGAAGATTCTTTCAAGATGGGTGGGATTGGGTGACCTGGACGGGAGGAATAAGACAGGGGAACTTGCTGCTCTTTTGGGAAGGTAAGGTCCTTTAGAAAAAGAACAGGGTAGGGTGGGAGACTCTTCTGCCTGGGCTTACCATGCTTGGACATGAAGAGAGCCTTGTGAGCTGGGCTGTTTCCAACCGTGGGCTGCTGGGGCTTGCAGCTCCCTCAGCCAGTGGGTGCATGCCTGTGATGCTCTGGAGCTGAAGCCGCAGGACCGGGAACAGCTGGACACCTTCATTGACCAGTTGTACAAGGACATCGAGGCAGGTTGGTAAGATGGGGCTGTGGCTTCCCCCATTCTTAGAGCTCCCCTAGTCAGATAGTGGGCACAGTTCTTGCTAGGGAAGGCTAAGCTCATGGTAGGGGAAGGGAACCCCTGTGCACCCATAGAACGCTTCAGCTCAAGCCACAAGGTGTGCAGATGAGAAATGGTCCTGAGATCTATCCAGAGGCTCCATGCTGAGAAGAGGGTGTCTTGTTCTTGTGAGTTTAATTTCCTTTTCCCACTGACGTCTTCACATTACTTTCTTACAGCAACCGGCGAGTTCCTGAACTGTGAAGGGTCTGGCCTCTTCGTGCTTCAGAGCTGCTGTGAGTCTTGGCACTGGGGAGGAATGAGTCCACATGGTTCTGCCCTTACCAGGTCATCTTTCCCAGTTTGCCCTGTTTGGGCTGACTAGGGCAAGTCTCGAAGTGGGGTTAGGTCTGTGTTTCTTTGGAAATTATTGCTCTATCATTTTCTTTCATTCATTCATTCATTCATTCATTCATTCATTCCTTTTGCTTGTTTGCCGTGTTACTGGGAGCCAAACCCAAGGATTCATCCCTAGCCTTCTGCTTGTGTTTTAGTAGACGGTTATAGTAGGCCATGTCCCCTAAGGGGGATGCACAAAGCCCTGCTTCTTGGAAAGGGAGGCATGCCTTGCGGGGTGTGGTCAGGAAGCACTGGGAGAGCCTGAGGCCTATAGGATCCTGGAAGGGGCCTCAGGCTGGAAGAGCCTGTCTCCTTTGCACCTTCTACCTTTTCCAGATCCCAGTTTCCTACCTCCTGCTTTCCTCACTACTAAATAACCTCTCCTCCCAGGCTGGGTGGTCAAGGGTTCTAAGTTAGCAGACACAAATAAATATCTGTTGTAGATGCCCTCATAGCCTCTCACCTCCTTTGGTGAGACAATGGGACACATCTGAGAACATGGCCAGTCTTGTGGGGTAAGGGTAGAGCCGCTCGGCAGTGATAGAGCAAGGCACATTATATCAGCATTGTCCTCAGGAAAGAGCAGTGGGTAGTGGGACAGAATATGGGGTCTCACACCTGCCCTTCCCTGCAGTATTTAACCACAAAAGTGATAAAGGGTTCAGTATTAATTAATCCCTTTTTTGAAGTATAGAGATACGGTTTCCTGTAGCCCAGGTTGACCTTGAACTTACTATGTAGCCAAGGCTGATTTTGAACTCCCTATCGCCCTGGTTCCATCTTCTAAGTGCTGAGCTACAGGTATGCCATGCCCTGCTTTTTTTTGTTTAGTTGCTTTGTATTTTTGAGACAGGGTCTCTTGAGTCCTGACTAGACTGGAACTCACTTGTGCCATCAGTTGGGCCTCAGACTCACAGCAAATCCTCCTGTCTCCCTCATGGGGGCCGGGAGCCACTAGACTTGACTTGAGAATATTAATTCAGTTTTATTTGTTTTTTTAATATTTGTTGTATTTTTTAGTTAAGGTCTCACTATGTGGCCCTGGCTGGCCTGGAACATTTTATGTAGATCTGCTTGCGCTGCCTCCCAAGTACTGATTACAGGCTAGTGCCAGCACACATTGCCCCGCTTTGTTTTTACATTTATTCACATGCACACACAGGCTATGGTGCACATATGGAGGTCAGAGTCGAGTCTTTCTACTAAGTGGGTTCTAGGGATCATACTGAGGTTGTCAGGCTTGGAACAAGCACCTTTACCTGCTGAGTCATCTACCTGCCCCTAGAATTACATTTTTGTTTTGTTGGCTTTTGTTTTTGTCATCCGTCCCTTGCCATCCCTCCTCCCCCTAGCGTTTCTCTGTGTAGCCCTGGAACTATAGACTAGGCTGATCTTGAACTCAGAGATCTGCTTGCCTTTGCCCTCCCCCCCATCCCCGCCCCAAGTGCTGGGATTAATTAAAGGTGTGTGCCACCACTGCCCAGCTAGGATTACCATTTAAAAAAACTAATTTTCATTGCTTGGCATAGTGATGTACTTGTGAATTAGACGCAAGAGCATCACAAGTTCAAGCGTAGCCTGACCCTGATTCAAAACTAAGGGCTGGGAGTGTAGACCAGTCGTGGAATGCTTGCCTAGTATGTTCCAGGTGTTGGGTTCTTCACAGACATACTTCACTCGTTATCTGTCTTTTGCGACCCAGGCAACCACAGTTGTGTCCCCAATGCAGAGACTTCCTTCCCAGAAAACAACTTCCTTTTGCATGTTACCGCTTTGGAGGACATTAAACCAGGCGAGGTGAGAGGGCTGGGCAGCATGGGTGGGCATAGGTCCTTGCAGTTTCTCTCCAGGGAGCAGCAGGATCTAGCTGGAGTCCCTTTGTTGGGCTGGTGGTGAGTTACCACAGGCCCGAGGGCTGGAGTCATTTTGCCATGAGTATGCTTTGATCCTTTCAAGTTCTTCAGACATCCTCAGAAAGTCTCAGATTGAAGTAGAGCTGTGTGCCCAGGTCCCCGACCCCAGCTACCCTTTTGATTTCTTTGTGGCTGGAGCCACAGGGGTTGGTGTGAATTGAGAGTCCTGGTTGGTGGTCACAGCCTGACAAAATTTTCTCCTATACAAGTTATCATACCAAGATTAACCTCTGATCCCATCTACAGAGCTTGCCTACTGACTGGTCTTCCTCAGGGTCTGAGGCCAACCTCCATCCTTGTCTATCTCAGACCCAGGTGGAAGTCTTACCTGCTGGAGGCAGGAGAATGGATCAGTTGAAGAGTATTGAAGGCCTAGCTTCTAGGCAAGGGACAGTGGTTGACAATAGATATGGCAGCTGTTGGGGAAGTTCTTTCTCTGTTGTTGTTTGTTTTGAGACAGAGTTTCTGTGTAGCCTTGACTGCCCTGGAACTTGTTCTGTAGACCAGGCTGACCTCTAACTCAGAGATCCACCTCCATCTCCCTTCCGAGTGCTGGGGTTAAAGGTGTGTGCTGCCACCACCTGGCTGGGGAAGCTCTTTTTTAACCTGATGGAGGGCATAGGCAATCATACCCTTCTCTACCCCACAGGAAATCTGTATCAGCTACTTAGATTGCTGTCAGCGGGAGCGCAGCCGCCACAGCCGCCACAAGATCCTCAGGTGCCAGCTGGGGACATGGTTGGGCTCTGGGCTTTTCCATCCCAGCAACTGACTTACTTATCACCCCTTTCCTTTGAAGGGAGAACTACTTGTTCATCTGTTCCTGTCCCAAATGCCTGGCAGAGGCCGATGACCCTAATGTGACCTCAGAAGAAGAGGAGGAAGAAGATGAGGAAGGAGAGCCTGAAGATGCAGAGCTAGGGGATGAGATGACTGATGTGTGATGTTGCCCTGCCTGGAAGGGGCCCGCCCTCCACAAATGTGGTCGGAAGGACAGCCCCTCCCCCTCGCACCCGTTGCCTGCTTTCTCCCTTCTGGCATTCTGTCAGGAAAGGAGAGAGGCTGGACCTGAGCCCCACCCCTCACCAGACCTCATGCCCTGAGCACTGCTGCTGAGCTGCATTGGCCCTGTGCCATCACCAAGCCTTCCAGAACTGGTCTTCCCCCACCATGGTCCACCGTAGCTGTGAGACTGGAACAGGCTCCAGGCCTCATAGTTTTCTTCCTCTGGGCTCCTTGGCCCATACTCACCCATCCGCCTGAGGCTTGGCCCCTCTTGACTGGCTGTTAACTTGAGGGGAGCAACAAAGTGGCCAGTCTGAAAGCAGACTGGTTTCCTTGAGAGGTGATATGATGCCTTACCTCTTTCTTACTGCTCACCTACACAGCTGCAGCTGAAGCAGTGGCCTGCCACTTGGCAGCAAGAGGCAGGAACAAAGGTCTAGGCCTTCAGAACACTTCAAAAGACTGTGCCTGGGATGCTGGGCTGTTCCCATTGGACACTGGGGAGGTGGAGATTAACCTATTCTCCAGACTCCAGATTGTTGCGCCTGTGCCTTGGCTCTTATGCTCAGGCAAGGTGGCTAGCCCTAAAAGGTATGGAAGAGGCTTATCTTCATCAGGACTCTAGCAGAATGCCAGATGACAGATTGTGCTCCTTAATTTAGGATGCTCCACTCTTCCCTGCGACCAGCTGAAATGGTCTAGCAAATGGCCTCATCCACTTTTAAGATATCCATAGAGGAGCACTGAAGTCTTCCAGAAACCTGAAGGAGCAGGGCAGACGCTTGGAGATGAGCCATGACTTTGTTCCCTCCTTGCCACAGATGACCATCTCATTCTTGGGGTGGGCATCATGGAACGACAGCTACCACCCCCATTCTTTCCCTGAAAGGTCTGCACATAGCCCTGCTAGGGGCTCCCAGGGAGGACCAGTGCCTATGCTACAGGCTTTTTCTAAGGTGGAGCCAGGTGAAATGTGCCTGACTGGCCCCCTTAACCTGTTGGGCACACTCCTTCTCAATAGCCAGCACCCTCTCCCTCTGGCCTCAATAAAATGTGAGTGGTGATAGGCCTCTGGCGGTGCTTTGTGGAGAGTGGGCTACGTGCACAGGGCACTAGTTAACACCAGGGGGTGGCAGCAGAATGCTCCAGGTTTTTCAGTAGTGCTCATACTGCCAGCCGCAAGGGTGTGTTAACACCCCTAAAGCCAACAAGGTCTCTGAGGCTGGATTTCAATTGCTGACTCTAGGTAAAGGAGTCTTCTTCCCAGCAGGATGAACCACAATTAGCAGTCTGTTAATCCTAATGGGCTTGAGAAGCCGTGGCCTTCTGTGAGGCTCCGCTAAGAGCACCAGTAAGTATGATGTGGGACCAAATACATGAGTCCCTCCACACCCACGCATTCTTAGTTTAGGACACAGGTACAAACCTGACGAGCTTTATTTACCTTTATTGCTAAAGAGTAGAGAATCCTTCGGCCCAGAATAACTATTTCTTAAACCACTTCAGCAAGAGCTACAAGAGTCACTGTGAGGAAGTCCGGGCTGTGGGAGGCTGAAAAACTGGTGTGTGACAGGTAGCGGAGGACAAGGCCGCCTGCCTTCAGCACCTTTTGTTCCAAATTCTGCCCAGATGCCTTGGGCCTGGTTCTTGGCTCTTACTGGAGCATGAGATGTTCTTGCAGGCCCTAAGGAAGGGAAAGCCACTAGTGTGGCTTCCCTGTCCCATCCCTGGCTCTACTTGTCCTCAGTCTATCTCCAAACTCCAAACGGCAGAATCTTAGTTTTTTTCTTCCCAGTGAGTCACCTGTGGCTGGTACCTGGGGTAAGCTTTTCTACCAGAAAGTCCAGGGAGGTTGCAGCAGCTCAAAAGTGGGGATACTCGTGACATTGACTGGGATAGAGATGATGGCCCATGGCAGCCCATGCTGTTCCAGAGAGCGGCGGATCATGTAGCTGGGAGGGCATGAAGAGCAGTCACTTTCTCAGCACCCCAACACTGCCCTCTGCCTGTTACTCTGGGAGTTTCCAGAACCTGAGAACTTTTTTGCCCCTTGACTGGGATATTCAAGACAGGGCCTGTGAAAGGGGATTGGTGATTGCCTTTGACCCCACCAAATCACACCACCCAATTTAGTGTGGACAGCCCAAAGAAAAGAGCCCTCACCCATCTCGGCCGAGCAGGAAGAGGGCAGGAATGTCAGCTGTGCGTTGAGTACTATCCTGGATCATCTCCACGTAGAAACTGTCATTGTCAACTGCATTGTCCGAGATGATCACAGCCCGCCCACCATGCTCCTGAACCACCCTGGTCTTGGAGAGGAAGGAGCAGCCCCTGGAAGAGGTTGGTGATGAGACCAAAGGAAAGACTAGCTGCCCCTCCCTTACATCCTCTCTTTGGGAGGAAGGACCACAGAGAACTTGTATTGAGGGCCATCAGTACACAGCAGAAAGTAGACAAGACATTTCTTAAAGACCTGTAAAGGATGAATTATTTAAAAATTGACATTTCAAAGTACCATGAGCTGTGATCAGAATCTGCCCTCCCTGTGTGTCATACCTGCCCAGTCCTTACCCCCTTTCCACCAGAGCAATCTGGTCCTGGATGAAGAAGCCGTTACTGAGTTCCCCACAGGCCTCTGGAGGTTCGGCGGGGACAAGGTGAATCTGCTCATACCGTGTGTGCTGAAAAATGTTCAGACATCAGGACAGGGAAGAGTGAGAAAACATGGCTTTGGAATGAGCTAACAATCCATGGCCTGGCGCCTTGCACCATGTGGAGGAAGGAAATAGGGTGCTCTCCCTGTGGCTGGGCACTCGAGCACTTTCATTCTCACCGAGATCCATCTGACTAGGCACCCCTCCCCCTTCTGTGAGAGGGCGCTGGTTATAACCCGGGGTGGGGGGAAGCAGGAGGAATTGACAGAGAAAGCCGGTGCCCTTGGTTTCTTGGGTAGTTTCCACCAATGAAGGGAGTCTCTCCTTGGTTTAGTGTGCAGCAGCTCCTGGAGGGCATGGCTGGATTATACTTCCTGCTCTGTCCCAGCATAAAGGTGGGATGAGGGTCACCATGGCTCACTGATGGCAGCAAGGCTGCTGAGGGTCAGAAACCTGAGCTTTCAACTTACAAATATACCACCAAAGTCCTTGGCAGGCGTGGCTGTGAAGATATAGCGAATGTCCCCAGGACTCAGCACTTGGAAATATAAGTAGTCATGGATGCGTAAGCCTAAAGGGAAAAGTGCAAATGCAAAGCCTTTTAGGAACAAGCTGGTTGGGTTTCCTATGTCTTCCACTGGGTGGACTGTGGCCTGCATCCAGAGACCCTGGCGTCAACTGACAGGATCCTCCGGGAGCATGAGATCTTATTAAGCAGGGTCTCACTATGTAGCCCTGTCTCGCTCAAACTCAGAGATCACTTCTGCTTCCCACCCCTACTAGTGCTGAATTAAAGGTATGTACTACCACCTGGAAATCTTAAAAAATGGCCGCACACAGCCCAGGCTGCCTTTGAATTAGTTGTTTCCTTGGTGGGCCTTGAATCCTTCCTCCTGATTGCCTCCCAAACATGACTACAGGCATGCACTGCCACGCCCAGCTTGAGAACTGATTTCTACACTGGACAGACAGACTGGATATAAGAGATTTGTATCTGCTGCTGCTCCTAACACAGCAGGTGAGCCACAAAGACCCAGAGCTCTAGGGTTAACAGCTGTCCCTGCTCTGAAGATCTAAGAGTTTCGAAGTGGATAGAGAAGCCCCGGGTTTCTAACCAGATCTTTAAGTTAGCTCTGGTCTCATTGGCATCTCCTAGCCCAGTCACTGTCATCTCTTCTGACTGTTCGAGCTTAACTGGTCTTGCTCCCCTGTCTCTTTTTTCATAGGGGGGTCTTGCTATGTTGCCCAGATTGGTTTTCTTTTTTTTTTGTTTTAAATATTTATTTATTTGTTATGTATACAATATTCTGTCTGTGTGTATGCCTGCAGGCCAGAAGAGGGCACCAGACCCCATTACAGATGGTTGTGAGCCACCATGTGGTTGCTGGGAATTGAACTCAGGACCTTTGAAAGAGCAGGCAATGCTCTTAACCTCTGAGCCATTTCTCCAGCCCCCCAGATTGGTTTTCAACATCTTGGCTCAGGCAATCCTGACTCAGGTTCCCATCTGCCTTCATTCTGTAATTTACATTTTATTTTATGTATATATGTGTGCTTTGGCTGCATGTATGTCCATGTGCCATCTGTGTGCCTGGTGCCTGCGGAATCCAGGAGGAGGGTATCAGCTCCCCAGAACTGGAAGGACAAGCAGCTGTGCGTGGGCCCTCTGGAAGAACAACTAGTACTCCAAATACTGAGCCATCTCTCGGTCACCTCCATTGTCCTCCTTAAGGTCCTCCTGCCACCCACTCACTGCCAGAGCCTCAGTGTCCCCTTCACTGACTAAAATGTGTGCCGCTGCTCACGGTGGTGTAGAAGGCACTGCTTGATCGACCCCTGCTCCAGATCTGCCATTTTCCCAAGTTCAAGCTGCACTGGCTCCTCTGTGTTTTCATCTTCTTGTGTCTTCCTAAAAGTTCCCCTGTCATCTCTCAGAAAGATGGTACCCTGTTCCTTCCTATAGTCATTCAAAACATACTTTCTTCCAGCTAGTACTTCCTCAGTAATTATGGTGTATTTATAATAGTCTATGTCTGTTTCTTAGAGCAATGATTCTGAGTTTGTGGCTTTACTCAGTGATGAATCCCTAGTGCCTAGGACCCAGTGGCTGCTCAGCAAAGGTTACTGAATGAATGGACAGCTGCTCAGGTATGCTGTCCTGAAAAGGAGAGCTGCCAGAACAACCAGGGTTTTGCTAGGATATAGAAACTTTTCTCAGCATCGAAGTTTAATATTTTCCTGGGATTTGAGTCCCTGGATTCCTTAAGCCCAGAGAGATGAGGGAATGTTGATGGATGGAAGTTTTTGCCTCAGGGCTGTGGTTATAGCTGTTCCTGTCTACGGCCCAGATCACAACCACCCAGGCAGAGCTCAGGGGGCTTGCAGCTTGTTGTCCTGAGTGTAGGTACACTCCATCAGATGGATACACCCCTAGGGAAGCCTTCTGGATTGACACGCGGCACCCTTTTCCCAAGCACACTCCTGTCTGGCGTTTGATGTGCTTATCTCTTCGGCTATATGCATGTGCTCACTTAGCGCGTAGGTGTGTACATTTATGTGCGAGTTGTGTTAAGTGGGTGCCTGTGCGTGCGTGTGAGCCCACGTGCATGTTCCTGCCTGTATGAACGCTCACGCTGCTCCATTCTTGATCTCTAGCTGTCACCCGGGTCGCCCGCGGGAGGAGGAGGGCTGGAGGATCTTGCTTCGACGTGGGGAGCCTCGGGCCGCGCCTACTCCGGACTCCAGGGACCAGCACCCACCCGCTGTAGTCGTCTGGCCCCAAAACCTAACCAGCCCAAACTCCCGGGGTCCCCAAGGTGACCCGTGGCCCCCGGCCCGAGCAGCGCACAAGCTGGATGCCCGGCCCGCCCTCCGCTGCCGCCGCTCACCGTGGGCCGCGACGTACGCGGGCAGCCAGAGCACGAGACAGCACCAGCCCGCGGCACCACGGCTCATCTCCAGGGCCCGTCCCGCCGCCGCCGCCGTCCCGCCGCGCCCGCCAGCCGGACTTTAGCCTGACAGCCGCCCCGGCCTTCCCCAGGCCCGCTCTCCGCGCGGGTTGGAGCGCCGAACCGAGGCCAGCGGCCGATTGGCTGCCAAGCCTGTTCGTGTGGCCGCACTTTCCGCCTCTGCGCCCTAGGCTACTTCCTATTGGCCAGGAGAAGTGGAGCCGGCAGCGGATTGGCCAAAACTCTTAATAGCAACTGCAGTTCGCAGCCCCGCCCCCGCTCCTCAGTATAGACGCGACTCCCGAGCCGAGGGTGGGCGGCTCGCGGAAAGGTGCGGGGTCCCGGCTGCCCTCCCTGCTGGAGGCTGGCTGCGCGCCGGTGCCGCGGGGCGGTGCCTCGGCCGGCGGGAGGCGCTGCAGAGCCAGAAGTAGCTCTTGCGAGTTTCCCGCGCTCGCGGGCTGCGCACCGGTGACCCAGGGCGCCTCAACTTCCCCGGCTCCCCGTGAAATGCACAGAGCTCCGACGCCACAGAGCTCTGGGGGTGCAGTGGGTGCAGTGAGAACACTCACCTAAGGTGCTTCCCCCAACCGCCGTTCAGTCTCACCGCCTGTCTTCCATGGTATCCGGGGACGCGGGCCGAAGCGGGACCCGGCTGCGTCCTCCCAGAGCCAAAGCACATCGAAACTCGGTGACCCCGCCATAGCCAATGCCAGTTCCTAGAGCGGCCGCGGGCGCCTCCGACTCCTCTAGCCAGCCACCTCGGCTGTCGCCAACCATAGAGTGGCGGAAGTGGTCCGTCCCCTTCCTCTCCCGGGCCTACGTCTAGCCAGAAGCTTCTGGGGACGTCGGCGCGGAGCATTGTGGGCTTGGGCGGGCGGTTCCGAGGCCGAGAAGAGGCGAGTTGCGGGCCCCTGAAGCGCTTTCAAGATGATGGTGAGTGGCTCCCCGCTCATCCGCTGCCATCCGCGGCCGTGGGGCCCAGGCCCGCCCTCCGGGGAGTCGGCAGCGCCCGTTCCGGCCCCCCTGTCCGTGGATCGCCGCGGCCCGGAGCTGGAGCGGTTGGCGGGAGCCGATGGGGCTCGCGACTCTACTGGGCCCGGGGGTCTACGGGTCCCACGGTGATTCAGGACCGTGAGCCCCTGAAAACTTGGGTTTTCGGAACCGAATGCGGGTTCAGACTGCTTCGCCGCCCTGGGAGTTGCAGACGTAAAGGCGTGATCTAGAGCGCTCAGAGGCGGCGTGAGGATCTCTGGGTTGGGCCGAGTGACGCCCAGCATGGCACTGTGGTCACTTGCGTTCCCGCAAGCGGGAAAACAGAATCCTTCCTTCCTGCTGGAACCCGTTCGTTCGCGCAGTCCTTCAGCAGGTGCACTCTCAATGTCTCCTGAATGTACAGGCCCAGCTTCGTGCTGGGAAGGGGCAGAAGTTGAGGTGCACAGCATCAGAGATGGAAAGACGTGAGTGCCTTAGTCAGGAGAGTCTCTTAAAGGTCTGTCTGTAGCTGTCCTTCATCACGATCTGTTCTCTTACAGAGCGACAGATAACTTCCTTGTGTGTGAGACACCTAATTGTTGATGAACAACGTCAATTTCAGAATCCTGTGTACTTGGCATCAGTTCCACGCGCTAATTTTTGGTTTTCAGTGTCAATCCTTCTGCCTTTTGCAGCTTCTCCCAGTTAGTCCCCAGAGTGATAACCTGGATAGTCCTTCTCCCTGCTACCAAATGCTTTTTGGTTGCAGCTCCTACTCAGTAGAAGGACCCCATGTTCTCTGACCCCCACCCCCAGCACTGTCCTTTTCAGAGTTTTTTCCGCATTACTGTTTCTTGAACTTGATTTGGTTGGCAAGGACCAGAGCTGAGGAGTAAAACTCTTAATGTTCCTAAGTAAAGCACACGTCAGGGCTGCAAATGTGACCTCACGGACATCATTTGCGTAGTGCATCCAGGGCCCTGAGATCCATGCGCATCCAGTCCCCAGAGAAATAAACCTTTTGTCTAAAGGCCTCAGACTACTACTTTTGGGTTTTACCTGAATTATTTTTGCCCTATCCAATAGACTTGTTTGCCAGCTGGGTATCTCCCTTAAAATGAGAGTTCACCATGCTGTCAACCGACTGAGCTCAAGTAGTCTAGAAGACTTCTGTTCAAAGGAGAGTTAAAAGGGTCCCCTGACATCCTGATCTTTGATACATCTATTGTCTTTTTGGCATTAAATTGTACGTTTTCATATAGCACTGGTCTTGTTTTACAGAACATCAAGTCTAATGGTAATGGCTTTGTTTTTATTTTTTCGGGTACTGGGAATTGAACCCAAGGCCTCATTTGATTGTTCTACCACTTAGCTATAGCCCAAGGCTTTTCCCCCCAAATTTTACATATTTATGTATATTTTTAGGTATGAGTGCTCTGTCCACATATACCTGCAAGTCAGAAGAGGGCATTAAATCCCATTGTAGATGGTTGTGAGCCACCACGTGGTTGCTGGGAATTGAACTCAGGACCTCTGGAAGAATAGCCAGTGCTCTTAACCACTGAGCCATTTCTTAAGCCCTCAAGACTTATTAAACTTGTTTTTAACAGCAGGCTCTTTTGTAGCTCAAGGCTGGTCTGGAAGTCACTGTGTAGCCCACTGTGGTGATTAGTTTTGTCAGCTTGACACAACCTAGAAACACCTGGGAAGAAAGTCTCTGAGGGATTGTCTAGACGAGGTTGGTCTGTGGGGATCTTAATGGATTGTTGCGTATTGGTTTCTGTGTGTGTTCAAGACAGGGTTTTTCTGTGTAGCTTTGGAGCCTATCCTGGAACTTACTCTGTTTACCAGGCTGGCCTCAAACTCACAGAAATCCATCTGCCTCGGCCTCCTGAGTGCTGGGATTAAAGGTGTGCATCGCCCAGCTGATGCATATTCTTTAAAGTATTTCAGAGCTTTTGGTGGGTTGTGTTTGATTTTTAGATTTGTGTGTGGGGGGGAGGGTATTCCATTCATTTGGACATGTGTATACATCCTTGAAGGTACCTCTAGAGGCCAGAAAAGGGCATTGGATTTGTTCTTGGAGCTGGAGTTAGAGATGGTTGTGGTATTGGTAATCAAACTCTTGTCTTCAAGGAGAATAGAGAGGCTTCTTAACTGCTGAGTCATCTCTCCAGTCTCAAATCTATTTTTACGTTCCACTCTTTTTTTGTTTGTTTGTTTTGGTTTTGGTTTTTCGAGACAGGGTTTCTTGTAACTTTGGAACCTATCTTGGGACTCATTCTGTAGACCCAGGCTGGCTTCAGATTCACAGAGATACTCCTGCTGCAATCTCCTGAGTGCTGGAATTAAAGGCATGTGCCACCATGGCCTGGCTATATTTCACTCTTGATATCTTTTCTTAGACCAATACAACTTCATTTACTATTTCTTCCATTTGAAAGTATTTGCCTACAACTGGTTGTTTTACTTTGAACCAGGCACTTTAATTCCAGCACTCAGGAGGCAGAGGTAGGTGGACCTCTGAGTTTGAGGCCAGTCTGGTCTACAGAGTGAAATCCAGGACAGTCAGGGCTACACAGTGACTTGGGGGTGAGGTGGGGAGAAGAAAAAAATTGGTCTTCATTGGCTGTCTTGTAGCTTCTGTGACTGGTGAATACAGTTTTGAGACCAGCACCCTGATACCAGTCTTCATTCGCTAAAGACAGTGACTCTAACCAATTAGGATATAGTATGTGGTACTTAGTGCATGCATCTCCATCTCTGTCTCATTGGACTGCTAATGTCTTGCTTGAACAATTTTCTTTTTAAATTTATTTCAATTGTCTAGAAGTTTTGCCTACATGCAAGTGTGTGTATCCCTTGTGTGCCTGGTGCCTGTGAAGTCTAGAGGGGTTGCAGGTAGTCGTGAGTCATTACCACATGCAATGTGGGTGCTGGAAATCAAACCCAGTCTTCTAGTAGAACACCCAGTGCTTTTAATTGCTGAGCCATCTCCCCAGCTCCAAGCAGTTTCTTTTTGCTGACAGCTATGCTTGATGAATTCCATGTTCCTGTCAGTCATATCGGGCCGAAACCATACTTATTTAAACTTGTCTGAGATCTGATAAGTGTACAGCATTTACCAGCCTACTCATTTGCAGGCTTTTTGGTTTTGTACATGTGCACTATAGTGTTTTCAAGCTTTAGTGTTCATGTAAATCCACTTGGGCCCTTTCTGAAGGTCAGATCCTGTTTCAGTGGGTCTTGGATGTAGGTGGTGTTTATGCTTGCCATTGCCCTGTAGCAATGTATCTGTGTTGCCACCAGTAACTGCCCTCTGCTGACCGCAGAGGATTTTGACAAATAAGCAGTGTGCTTCAAAAAATGTTATGAAAAAAACCTAACAAGAAATTTAATAGTAGTCTGTGTTTCTTCAAATTAAATTAATCATTTAAAAATATGGTCTAGTTCTGTAAGCCTAGCCTTTAAGAAAGAAAAAAGAAAACTGGGAGAAGAGACTTTCACCAAGGTCATTTTCAGATCTAACACCCACTGGAGTTGAAAGACAGAGACGACAGTACAGCCCCCACTACAGTGTCTGCATAGAATGAGGTTTCCAGTACTGGGAGGATGACCTGGCTCACCGCTTATCCCTGAAGACTCAGGTTTAGCTATAGGGAACTCTGTTTTGCCAGGTACTCCAGTGTCTGTGCTACTTCCTGGACACGGGAGGAAAGATACTACTGGTTAGGTTTCTGTTGCTGTGATTAAACACCGTAACTGTCTTAGTCACTGTGTCAGTGCTGTGAAAAGACACCATGGCCAAGGCAACTTGTACAAGAAAGCATTTAATTGGGGGCTTACTTACAGTTTCAGAGGGTTAGTCCGTTATCATGGTGAGGAGTATGGCGGCAGGCAGGCAAGCATTGGAGAAGTAGCTGAAAACTACATCCTGATGTACGGGCAGCAGGTAGGGAGAGAGACACTGGGCTTGGTGTGAACTTTTGAAACCTCAAAGCCAGTGACACGTCTCCTAGTCCTTCCCCAGAGTTCCACTAACTGAGACAAAGCATTCAAACATGAGCCCATGGGTCGTCTCATTCAGTCCACCACAATGATGGAAGCACGTTGGGGAGGACAGGGTTTATTTCATCTTCCAGCTTATAGTCCACCATAAAGGGAAGGCACTGAAGCAGAGGATGTGGAGGAACTTTGCAGACTCTTGTTCCTTGTGACTTGTTCAGCCTGCTTCCTTAAGCACCACTCCTAGTGGCCTAGACCCTCCTATATTAATTGTAATTAAGAAAATGCCCCATAGACATTTAGAGGCCAGTCTAATGGTGGCATTTTCTCAGTTGCTATTTCTCTTCCCAGATGATCCTGGCTTATGTTAGTTAACAAAGAACTAACTAATGCAACAGCCAACCAGGCTTTACCTGCATTCTTACCTTCTCATAGTTTCTAGAGTGGTACAAAGAAAGCCCATGCAGGAATAGTGACCCTTCTGGGCCAATACTAAAGAGAAAGGCAAAAATCCCTGAGTCACGTGAGAACATTTAGAGTGGGTATGAGAGGTGAAGTCAGTGTGTTACTTTGTAAAGATA